TTGTAATCACAGCAGACCTGCCACATAAACACTGAGAGAGCCAAACTGAGAGCTTTTAGATGATGTAACTCACAGGAATGCCAACACATTAAAGAAAATTCAATAGTCTGGAGGTAATCAATTCTTAGTTTGGTACATCAGAAAACAGTTCCTTTTCAAGTATCACTGCTTTTTATTAATTGTTATATTTAAGCCAAAATTATCTAAATGTGGCACTGCAGGTAGAACCAGTGACTAATAGCTAAGACCATGTGATAGATGGAATGACCACTTTTAAAATTATAGTGTATAAACGATGGGCATGCCCATCTAATGTCAAAGACTGGATGATGATCACTCCACTTTATGGACATCTCTTTGGAGCCAGAAGTGACCATATTAGGCCCCAGTCATGTATGGTTAAGGACTGGCCAATGACTCCATGGTACCACTGGTCACTAAGGAAAAATATGTGTTCCCCAACGAGCTGGCCAGTAGTTGCAGGAAATGTCTCACCAAGTGACATTGGTCACAAACATATATATGATATTTATTCAGCATTAGTTGCTGGTTGGTAAGTAATAGGACTGGGCGATATGACCCAAAATTCATATCTCGATATTTTTTTAGCTTGATGGCGATATACGATATATATCTCGATTTGTTTTTTACCATGTCTTTTAGCAGGTGCCATTTATGGTCCTTATACACACACAATATGGTAATATTACATTGAAGCACAGTACGTATTACTCCGTGAGGCTCCAGACTACAGTAGCCGTACAGTATACTAAAACATTTTTTGACAGATTGCTGAGCGCCGTGTACCACATAAAATCGGTTCGCGGTCAGTAAGCACAACCAGAATTCATACATAAGGCGCACTGTCGATTTTTGAGAAAATGAAAGGATTTTAGGCCATGCAGCCGCTGTGGGCTAGCTGGTTAGCACAGTTAGCTCATTAGCGCGGTTAGCTCGTTAGCACGGTTAGCTCGTTAGCACGGTTAGCTCGCTAACTCGTTGACACCGTCCAGCCCCACGCACGGGGCGATCCATGGTAACCTGTTAACGGAGATTTGCCGTGTCCATCTTGTCGTTGCCTGCAGGTGAAGCTATGGGGGAGTTGTGATCAGTGAAGGACAGGCGAGGCTGAGTAACGTTGCATAGAGACAAAAGTGGACGAAAGAGAGGCAAACTTGCAGCTCCACAAGTATAATTATAACTTAACATATACTATATCGATATAAACAATATTGTTACATCTTATATCTCGTATAAAAATATATCGATTTTTTTTTAACTCAATATATCGCCCAGTCCTAGTAAGTAACTGCTGACAAGTTGGAGCCTGGAGCAACCAAAGCAATAAGAAACAGGTTTTTGGTGCTACAACCTTCTTGTGGTAGATAACACGCTGCAGTATCCAGCAACCACTCACCAACTCATTGGGGAACAGTCTATAGGCCTGTGTGACTGAGGCTTCAGGATGACGCACTACGCTGTCAGCTAACACTGGCAAGCTTAGTTAGCACCCTGTGTCCAGAAACTGTATTGGTGCATCCCACAGATTCCAGAAGGGTGCATGTTCAACATAGTCAGACTTTCTTTACTTTAGCTGGCTTGACTGAAGTCAGACATAAGCGGTGTCAAGATTGTTGTAATCAAATTGAACCCAAGATTTCTACTTCAGGATCTGAGCACATTCACATAAAAAGGGGGGATCTAACATGTCATTTCACTCTTACTCGCAACAACAATTGGTAACCTTTTCCAACCAGAGACATTATCAGAGAAACAAGTGATAGAAGTGGATAATGAATAAAAAAAAAAACACAATTCTTTGTTTCACAGACCTAAAACAAGAAACAAATCAAATTACTGTAGAAGCTCACCCAGGAGTTGCAAATGTTTCTATAAATGCATATAACTGGTGTGACTTACATCTTTGTTGTTTTTTGTTTTCAGGGATCGTGCTTGCTGATATCATTGAAAAGTACTTTGTGTCACCCACACTGTTCAGAGTGATCCGACTGGCTCGTATTGGACGAATTCTGCGCCTCATCAGAGGCGCTAAAGGAATCCGGACGTTACTGTTTGCCCTCATGATGTCCCTTCCTGCTCTCTTTAACATTGGACTTCTCCTGTTCCTTGTCATGTTCATCTACGCCATCTTTGGTATGGCCAACTTTGCCTACGTGAAACGGCAGGGGGGGATCGATGACATGTTTAACTTTGAGACGTTTGGGAACAGCATGATCTGCTTGTTTCAGATCACCACCTCTGCAGGATGGGACAGCCTTCTCAGTCCCATTCTCAACAACTCCCCTGAGGAGTGCGATGCCAACATCCCCCACACTGGCACCACCGTCAGGGGGAACTGTGGGAACCCATCAGTGGGCATCACCTTCTTTGTCACCTACATTATCATCTCCTTTCTGATTGTGGTAAACATGTATATCGCCATCATCCTGGAGAACTTCAGTGTTGCCACTGAGGAAAGCACTGAACCCCTCAGCGAAGACGACTTCGAGATGTTCTACGAGGTCTGGGAGAAGTTCGACCCGGAGGCCACGCAGTTTATCGAGTACTCCAAGCTGTCCGACTTTGCTGACTCGCTGCTAGAGCCGCTGCGCATCGCCAAGCCTAACAAGATCAAACTGATCTCCATGGACCTGCCCATGGTCAGTGGAGACAAAATCCACTGCCTGGACATCCTGTTTGCCTTTACCAAGCGTGTCCTGGGCGAGTCAGGAGAGATGGATGCCCTCAAGCAGCAGATGGAGGAGAAGTTCATGATGGCGAACCCGTCCAAGATCTCTTATGAACCCATCACTACAACTTTGAGGCGCAAGCAGGAAGAAGTCTCCGCCACCATCATCCAGAGGTGTTACCGCAGACACCTTGTGAGGCGACAGCTGAAAGCCGCCTCCTACATGTACCGCCAGATCACCACACCTCGGCATGCAGGAGGTGAAGGTGAACAAGGAGGTGAAGTAGTGTTTGGGGAGGATGCGCCTGAGAAAGAAGGGCTGATTGCTACCATGATGAGGGAAAACTACGGCTCAAGCATGTTAGGGATCGAGCGCTCAGAGACGATTTCCTCCACCTCATCTCCACCTTCATATGACAGCGTAACACGGGCCACATCCGAGATCTTTCAACCGCTCGCTGTCAAGACAGAAACTGTTGCCGACACTGCGGGCAGCGAACAAAGTGAACAATCACAGTCAGAAATCACCCATGACAGACAGCAGGAAACGACGCCATAGCAGGAACAGAAAAGCAAAAAAATAATTAACAAATGAGGATTTTCTCATTTGAGGTTGGCCTGTTTATTCTTTTGTTTACTGAATGTACCATAGCTGAGAACGCTGAAGCGGCAGCAGAAAGAAGCTATGAAGAACTACGAGGAGCCTGCAACATGGAAGAATTACTACCTTTAATGTCATTTCCTGTTCCCTGGAGAAAGTGTTTTGGGAGTTTCCTGAAGGGAAGCAAAGCAACTGCAAAACAGAGAGGGTAACCCTGTCTGTCAGGTCAACTCTGCCTTTGTTGGAGTAATAGACAGTAAAGGAAAACCTACTCTTGGGTCAACCAGAACCGGGAGTTTAGAACAATGACCTTTCACCAAAGCTACAGGTGGTCAGAGGGGGCAGAGCAACTATATCACAAATGTATCCATCATTTTTTGGCCTGGGGAGTTTGTGCCTTCCCACAGTTGATCAATATTCTCAGAGTATGTTTGGTTGTAAGAGTGACGGCGGTGTTTCTCAACACGTTAAGGGTCGATGGCGTTCTGACTGACACTCGAGAGAGGAGGGAAAATAATGACAACGTGATTTCAAAACAATGTTTTCGTAGTAAAAGTACGTTGTTGATGTTACCAGTCTTTTAATAGCGGTACAATTATTACTATTTTTTATATTTTTTAGAGTAAGTTGAAGAAAACCAGTTAGCGGTCTCTCTTTTGACTTCGGAGTGGCACTAACTATGAAAAAGTGGCTGAACTACTATGTTGTAATAGATGAGAGGAGAAGGTGCGGTCAGGAAAAAAATTTTCTCAAAAACCTGAATCTTCATCTGTTTTTGTTGGCAGTTTTGCACTTTTTGAGTTTACACCTGCTCTCGCTTTACCGCACCTGGGCGAAGGCACAGTGTAGAAGAGCCTGGGATTTCATTATTTTTCTTCTCAAAACCTTTTGCGATAACACCAAAAAAATGACACAAGTGCACAATGAGATTTTCTACACGGTCTCAAACTCTTCTAACACGCATCTTTGCCCAGTGGTGGACGCCCTCATACTCGGCAGTTTCTTGGCTTGTGGGTGATTTGTCTAAAAGTCATGTTAGATATTCCGGCTTCACTTCCCTATAACATGAAGCAGAAGAGTCCTATTTCACTGTCACCACACTGAGTGGGGAGAAAAATGAAGCTTACTGGCTTTCATTGATTAAGGATGCATGATTTAGGAATAAGTTTTATGGAATGCTTTGAAAAACACCTGCCTGGGTGGAAGGAAAATAAGAGGCTTGTCAACTGTAGTGTTATTCTCCTATGCCAAAAATAGTCAAGACTGCAGGTGAATTTACTCTTTTTTTTATATTATTCAGTTTAGTAAAAGCATCAGACTGCTGGTTTAACACCAGCCTAGCACAAATTCAAAATAGGTTTAAGCATGCAGCAAACCACCAGTCTTTGCTTTTTAACAACTGAACAAAGACATGTGATAATAATAATGATGATGGTAATAATAATAATAGTCGTAGATTTTATATAGCTTTTTCCTAACAATGTTACAAAGCGCTTCATAGAAAGAATCAAAAAGCAAAATAAAAACATCAGAACAAAGAGGTTAAAAAAACCTACAAAAATGACCACAGCTCAGAAGTAAAAGATCAATTCAAAAGGAAGCAAGACAGCAATAACAAGCGCAGAACACTGAGATTCATGCAGGACACCTGTTAGCCTATTTTAATGCCATGAATGCCTCCTTTCATTTTTTTTTCTTTTCCTAAGAGCATTTGATGTCTCTGTACAAACTGAACATTGTCAACTTTTATGACAAATCACCCGCTGTCATTCAGCATCTGTCTGGTCTGAGTTCGGCTCGGCACAAACCGGCTTTAAGGTCCTGGTGGTGTCAGCCAGCTCTGACTACAGAGCGACAATCAGCTCAGCACATCTGCATCAGGATTTCTCCCCATTTGGTTTCATGAAAAGCTTAAAAGGCCACGCTGACTCTCGTGTTTGACCATCACCAGTGTCCTGGAACAACCTTATCTTGAAAACTCAACAGCAATATGGCAACGTTGAAGAAACCAGAGACAGCACAAAAGGCAATGAAACTCTGTTACTTTGCCAAAGTTTTAGTATTTTGTTCCTGACTAGCTGTCAGTGTGACAGAAGTATGAATACTCTTGGTACTGTCAATGAATAACGCAAGAGGTCACACGCCTCCCTGCGGAGATACATTTCATGTAAATGAGGCTCAGTAATTCACACACATTTTGCTTCCCATTAACCAAATTTTATCAGAATTTGGTTGCAATTCAGTCAGAGATCCAGAAGGGGGCGCTGGCAAGACTGTCTTTAGTGAAAAAGGGTGAATGGAGCTAAACAGCTAAGTTAATGACTTCCACCTGCTTCTATTCAAAAACATCTATATTACTTTTCATAAATCCAGCATCAACAGCACGTCTGAAATTAATCAAAACAACACTTATGTTCGGTTTTTCTCACAGTTAAGCCGGTTTTGCACATTAAACACTAGCATGCTGCTAATGGGTGCTGATTACTTAAGCAATTGGGATGGAACGTCCTCCCGCCATGGCAGCAGAAACCCCGTCAGAAGTTCCTATGTGGTGAAGTTGTGAATCTCTAATAATCACAGGGAGATTCTACTACAATAGAAACCTGTAAAAAAAAAATCGAACTCCACTCATTGTCTTGAGCCCTTCTACCGAAAAAAACATGCAAACTTCGGGAAGAACGTTTTTTCCTCGAAAATTTTAAATTTTTGTTTTACTGCCCAGTTCACTCTGGATGAGCTCAACACCGCCCCCTATGGAGCTAGAAGACCACAGAGCTCTCTGTGGTGCTGGACGTTCAGCTGCCAAAATATATGAACTATTTACAGCTTCAGATTAATCCATAAACCACAAATAACATCTTTCATTTTTTTTATCCCAGTTGTTCAATGATTATACATTTCGGGTTTATCCAGGACACTGAAATTTTATCTCCAAATGAAGCATTTCATTTCAGTGTGAGGAGATAAATTGGTGAATTCTGACTCCTACGTGGAGAATTTATAGCTTTAGTTTTTACTGAAAATATCAAACAGTTCAAAATGAACCTTCTGTGGTGAAATAGGTGTGCCCATTTTTCTAGGTGCAGATTTTATATTCAGCACATTGAAGACTTTGCTGATGTCATTTTTTCCCCCCAATGATTGAAAAATCAACTCTTCAAAACCAAAACACCGCTTCATTTATTTATTTATTTATTCATCCTCTTTTTGGGAAGATTTTCAGGTCAATTGCTTTATTTTTATTTTATTTATCTTTTTTATGATAATTATTTTTGCATTTTGGCTGGAGGAGGAGAGGAGGTCGAGCGAGACGGCTCTTTATCTATTTTGCACAGAGAAACAAAAAAAAAAAACTAACAAAACAAACAAACCGCGTCAAGCAATAACGGTTTGCAGATACCTTTTAACTGAATTCTTGAGTAACGCTTGACTTCACAGATGCTTTTTCTCACTGAATGTGTCTGTGGATTAAAGGGAAAAATCCCACACTAACACTTTGAGCATTTGGTGGAATATGATTAGCCGGATGCAGCACTGATGGCGTTACTGTGGACTTACAGACACACGGGTCCATACAGTGGCACGAAGCCGACGTGAAGCAGCGTTACCGCTTGTTTTTATTAAGACGAAGTGTCAAAGTGTGCGTGTACAGCATTTGTTCAGTCTGCTTCAATATTTCAAACAACCTCTCTCTCTGTCTCTGTCGTTGTGGTCACCCGAGGGATCTTTACTAAACGCTTTCCTAGACTAATTTTAAAAAGGAAAAAAAGTAGAAAAAAATTTTACTGGCACCGTCTGGACTCTATTTCTACTAGATTCTATTGAGAATAGATAACGATATAAACTAGGTAAATACTAATACACTGCTGAACTGTGCTGCGAGGCGTATTTAATAATAATAATAATATTTCAGGTTGCAGTTGTGCTGAAGGGCTGTTTTCAGTAGCAATAGACCCAGAGTGTGCCTGCTACACATGAACCCCATCACTCCAAGCCATGCTTTACCATTGGTTGATTGATAATATGCTTGACTGATTGATGAGCCAGTTGATTTTTCTGATTTCTTGACTGGTTTCATGTTTGGTTGGTTGATGAATTGATTCTTATGGTTTTTGATCATTAACACAGTCTCCACAGTCCCCTCCCCTCCATCACTGCTGTGACTCTTCCTCATAACCTATCGAACAAACAGCACAGAGAGCTAACAGGCTGACGTCACTTTTAACTGTCAAAAAGGTCCAGATTCACTAACGTCTGCAGGGAAAAGGGTGCAGTGTTGTCAGGAGAGCACATGCTGGCATGTAATTCCATACTGAGATGTTAAAATGGAGACAGCTGAATAAGAAAACATCCAGCTGTTTAATTCCCATAAACTGCATATAAAAGATGAACATAGCTACCATGAAATCCCTTACTGGCTTGCCAACTCTCATTTTTCAAGTTTCAAGCAGGAAGGCTTGTCCATCTTAGGTTTTTGAAATGTCTTGAGGCAGGCAAGCAGGATTAGGCCCTCACTAACCTGTATGCTGATCTGACTGTTTCACTCTAATAGGGCCACAGTTTTCTAAATGAACACCATGTTTTGTTCAATAAGCGACTGAGAGAAATAAATTCATCAGGAAACTTTTAAGCAGTTTAAGTTGCCGCACCCTGTGACTGCTTTGGTTGCTAGCAGATTGCTCATATTTTGCATGAAATACGTCCACTAACACTTGCAAACTACTCACAAGCAGTAATGAAACCAAGACTGTGGGAACTTGTGGCCATCTTCTAGAACCAAAGCAATTGCAGTAAAGTTTTTAGTCCAGCAGCGTATACCTCTTTGAAATTGAGTTCACCTGGAGATGTTGGGTGAAACTGAAAGAATGCAAATTTTCCTGTGGAAACCTGGCTGGTCTCCAAGCCTGACGTCTTAGGTCTCTGACAGCAAAAATCTGGTTTTCTAACAGGACCATCAATTATAAAATGAAGATCATGTTTTAATCTGTAAGGCTTGAAACTAGCGACTGTGATCATAAAGGATAAGTAAACCGTTTACTGAGCTTATAGATCAAATTTCCAGTAGACCTGTACACTCACTACCAAATTTGGAACAAAGACAGCTTCACTAGAACTTTAAAAGAGGACGGTGATTTTCTTTTAGAGCTGGCTTGAACCCTTTCAGAGGACCAGAAAGAAAAACGGACTTTCTTCAGAGTGTTTCCAGGTCAGTAAAGATATCAGCAAAGGGCTTTTGTAGAAAAGAACAGTCATCAAATTAAAGGCTCAGTTATTGGCATTAGTCTACTTAGATTTCAAACAGAGATCTGCTCATGAACTCAAAGATTGTTTAAATCCTTCCAAAATTACCTAAAGCTATCAACACAATGCATGTAAAACATGGATACTGTGCTCGAGAGATATCAGATGAAGTTGAGCTGTCTTTGTAGTGAGACAGTGTAGCCTTTATTTAACCAGGTGAGTCACTCCAAGCATATTCGTATTTACAAGGACAGCCAGGGAATGGCAAAGCCTCAAGAGTTTACAAGAAACATACTCTACTTGTTGCCCCTGATCATGGACGTTTCAGTTCAAGTTTACAAAGGTAATTAGAAATAGTTTATTTAGGATTTAGGATTCATCAGTAAAACAGGAGGCCCAGCTTTGAGACAAATCCATTTTTTATGCTTTGAGAAGCTTCTTGAAAGCTCAAACCTCCAGGGTTTGCTACTGGAGGCATCCTGTTAACAGCGTTGTAGTTTGTGCCAGTCTACAGCTCCAGGGTGATATTACTTGGTGGATACTGCTTGGCAACCTCATCCTGACATATCCAGCTCTCTCAAACTGATATTCAGTATTTGCTGCAGTGGAAAAAAGAAAACTGCACAAGCTTTTGTCAGAGTGTTGCTTCAGTGAATCTGGACCTCAGACTTTGGTTTGCACTGAGCACAAAAACACATTCAAACACTTACTGCAATCACTGGGACAGTTGGCTGCTCAGAAGTTTGTTCACCTGAAACAAACAATGAAGCAATTACAGCAGCAAAACAAAGAGCAGCTTTGTCCCTGAACAGTCTGTACAAGGGAAAGTAACAAAGCCTTCTAAATAACCTCCAAAATGTTTGAGCACTCAGAATGAAAAACAGAAAAAAATCTGTCTGCTTTATGATTTTTCCTGCTCTGATATGATAAACTGTTCAAAGTCTGAGCAAATTAAACACCATCTTTGCTCCAAGCTGTGGGTCAGACCATGTGGTGCTACTGAGGGGTTTGGAAGAGTCCATTTTATGAAGGGAGGGGGGTGTTTAAAACACAAACTGAGAATCTCTGCTCCTATTTGCCTTCTTCCCCTGTTTGAAAACCAAAAGCTGCTTCATCATCCTCGAAACAAAACGACAAACACCCACACGGAGGAAATGCACAGAAAACCAGAGGTTTCATTGTTCTCTATTATTGCTATTCTTACTATTAACTGTGTGATAAATGCAATACAACAGTTGTGTAAACAGGCAGTGAGTGATGTTCTATCTTATTTACAGTATGAGGATAATAAAAATGATGCTTTTGGGGTTTTTTTATTATTATTATTTTCCCGCTGTCAGGGGTTTGGTTTTTCCAGGCATCTTCTCACTGCTTAAACCACAGTCGTCCCATTTACACCGTCACTGGTTTCACAGCGGGTGGCGAACTGGTTTGCAGATTTCCAGTGTCATATCAGTCCCAAAGAAACCTCATATCTTGAGAAAGTTGCCTTTTTCTTAGGAAAGGGGGGGAGTTTGAATATTTCCCTTTCTGACACCTCTCGAATCCTCTTTTATTCCACATGAGAAAAACAGGAACATTTCTCTTATTGTCACCTTTGGGATAAAATGAGGCCACAAATAGTAGAAGTTGGAAAATATGCTTCACTAAGTTGACGATAAGAGGTTTCATGATACAAGTAGTTTTAGTGCTTTCGCTGGAAAACATTAAACTTTATAGCTGGAGGGTTAAAACCTTGTAACTCCTGAAATTTAAGGCTTGAATATATACGGAAATTAAGAAATAGCAACGTAATGAGCACAACTTTTAAAGTCCAAATTGGAACAGTGTCCATCACAGTTGTGTCATTTTCTAAAAACACAAAACCCAAAAACATAATAATAAGTTACAACGTTTTCCTCTGACGTCAGTGGTACTCGCCGGTGAAACCTCGGTGTAAAGGAGGCGAAAGCCGTGCCTCAGTGACCCCACCCTGGTGTTTTAGAGACAATAATATTTACAATTATAATTATAATATGAATATATATAAATATATATATATACTTTTTAGTACTTTGAGTTGAAATACTTTTTAGTATTTTGCAAATACATGTCTCTGTATATAAAAGAAAAGCCTCCTGTAATAAACAAGAAAAAATTTAATACTGAATCTGTTGTGGTGGTTTTATTTTGTGTGCTGTGTGAAAAATGGATATATGTGTGATCCAGGTCCACCACCAGGGGACTAGTGACCCATCTATAGTTAGGTGTACGATTTGGCAGCAAAGGGTCAGCCTACTTCCTGCTGGGTAGGCCACACCCTCTAATGGCCATGAGCTGTGAGTAACAACTGAAACAATGAGTTTATGGATGCCAGCAGAGTAAATGAGCTTCCCCTGGTGCTTGGTGGTGTCTGGACACAGCCTTAATGATAGGATGAGGATCTTGTATATTCAGGAGGTGCTCAGAGTAGAGCTGCTGCTCCTCCACCTCACACAGAGCTGGTGGAGGGGGTTCAGCATCTAACCAAGGTGCCTCCTGGACGCTTCCTAGGTGAGGTGTTTTTGGCAAGCCATACTGGAAGGAGACCCCAGGGTAGACCAAGGACACGCTGGAGAGATCAGGAAATCACATGATAGGATGGGGCTAGGTTTCACAATGAGCTCACTCGAAACCCTGGCTGATTGTGACCCACGCCTGTTTTCACACCTCGGCTCAGGTGATTAGGTAGAGGATCTTCAGGGGGTCCTTTTGTCCCTCTTTGGGGGGAAACTCCCACTAGGTTTATATCTGGGACTCTCCACCATTTGACCCTAGAACTGAAGAAGCTTCTCGGATGAGAGGTGAAACGTCTTCAAGCAACCCAAAGAAGTCCAGACGCTTTTCTTTCCAAGCTCCTTAGACTATGAGGACCTGGATGACTGAGAACCTTCACAGACCTTGGACCTGGAACTACTAAATCTTTAACAACAGCTGCTTTCACTAAAACACAGAAAGCAGAGAAGACTCCAGAGCTGACTCGGTCTATACACAGACTATCAGCACGATAAAAATAAGAAGAAAAGAACAGCTTAAACTGGTAGAATACATATTACTGCAGAAGCAGGAAGACACAATGAAAGCCTGTTAGGCTGTGTTTCGGTCTTATCCTTAAACTAACCAATATAATGTCTTTAGAGTACCTTATATTACTACCAAACACACCTGTCACAGCTGTCGAAGTCTCTGTAGTTGTGGGGTCCTGCAGAAGTTACCACATTTAATGTCAGACACATTAACAGTGTTCATTAAGTATTGGAAGTACTTGCATTGCGTGTGCACTGTGGTCACGCCAGCATCAAATCCATCCAAGTTACATGTTTATTAAAATAATCAAATTACAGCATTTATGTTAGACTACTTTTAATTAACTACTTTAGCCCACTTACAATGAGAAGAAATCTTGTTCATGACCTGTGTAGCATGTTAACACTATTGGAAGGAAAAATAACTTGAACTCCAATTTTGAAAACACAACTTTCTTTTTTTTTTTTATAAAGCTCTGACCTGTATTATGAGTCTGAGTCTGTGGTCTGGGAGAGAGTCCTGTAACAGTATATAAAGACCAATGTTGGGCAATTAATTATATAGTTACTTCTTCAAAAAAGTTACTGAGTTATGCAAACAAAGTTTTTTGCAGCTGTTTACCTAAAAATGCAGTCAATAAACATTTCAAACTATTTACAGAACAATCAGCTGTTCTGCATCAAATCTGATGCCACACAAATTATTTGTGCCACTCCAAAAATAATTTCTGTCCACTATGAGATGAAGGAGAACAACAGCCTGATACCTGCAGGCCTGACAGCAGCAGATGTATCACTGCTGTAACACCTGTAACACTCAGCAGTCGCCTCATTGTTCTGACACACAACAAAACTACTGACTACACTGCACACTAACTACACACTAACTACACACTAACTACACACTAACTACACACTAACTACACACTAATTACACAAGATTTGCGCTAAACGTCGCAAATCTCTCACATCTCAAAACACGCCGTCACTCCTAAAACTTCCCCCTCCCTAAACAACTAAATGCCACGTTGCCATATCATTTTTTGATTGGTCAACATGGTACATTTTTTGCGCACACGCACAGCTTAGAGGGAACATTGGTGGGGACTGAGTTGCTTTTGGAGCTAGCCCTGAAGAGGACACCAGGGAGCTTCATGTTTCAGCCCTGGAGGCTGATGCTGAGTGTAGGAGGCATTACCAACTTCAGTTCACTATGTAATGAGCTAAAGTCAGTAGAGACAGAGTCAGGTGTACAGAAGGCCGCACAGCCTCTCAACATCAAGGTTTTTATTGTTGGTAATGTTACTCTGTCTTCATTTTCCTAAAATAACGTCACCCCCACATTGTTTGTGAGCAGATGAGTGGAGCATCCCGGCTTCATTTCCAGGTTGGACAGACGGGTGGGCGGACGTGCAGGTTTATGGTGTCGGGTAGCTCTCCGTCCTCACAGTGGACTGTTTTTGCACACTACTGTGTGCATCTGTCTCCCTGCGCTTCCTCCCTTCATGTCGGCTTTGGCGCCAGTTCGCCTCTGCCCGTCATGCCTGCTTACGCTGCCCACTTTTGTCATGAAGCTGAACTCGTGATCTAATGCTGTGTGTGTGTGTGTGTCAGAGCAGATTGAGGATGACACTTGAAGCTGCTGTTGGAAACCCGTCTGCTGTGTTACCCTCTGCCTCTTTGTGGCCCTCCTGTTTCACCTCCCTCGTGATGACCCTGCTTCAACAGTGTTATGAGGTATTGTTTCATTCAGGAGCCTTAGACCATCGCACAAAGGTGGATTACTCTGCAGGGGAAAACAGTTCCCAGGAGAGTGCCTACTTCCAAGTGTTTTAGGAAATTACAAAAAAACACAGATGTTTTGAACCAAAGGGCAGGGAACTGGGAGTTATAGACACAAGTAATGAGACATGCATTTACAACTGATTTAGGTCTTTTCATGTCATTTTTTAAGCTGAGTTTTAGCGAGATTTCCTCTCTTTGTCAACAGTGGCGCTTTTATCTCTGTCTGGTTTGATTTGAAGCTTTGTTTTTATAAGATATGACAGTTTCTGGCATTCTGCGGGCTAAGGGCTCCGGCTAACAGTTACACATCCTGGGTCCTCTCTGGATCCAAGGACACACTGGAGAGATTACGTCTCTCAGCTGGCTCGGGAATGCCTCGATATGCCCCGGGGCAGCTGAGAACGCTGGCCCAACAACTACACGGACCCCGATGTGCAGCAGAGGATGAATGCATGGATCATATTTAAGCTACTAACATGTATCTGCATGTAAATCCTCTGACGTGGGCACAATTTTCATTTTGGAACAATTTTTCAACCAAAACCAGACACAAAGCGATCAGGTGTCAGTTATTCAAGGTCAGAGTATTTGCTGGGTTTAGCCGTCATGCTGTGAGCGGTTTGACTGAGGAGCCGGCGCACTCGTGAACAAAGCTTCTCTGTCTGTTTGAAAGGCTGAAACTTCTGTTTAAAGCCCACCAGCAGCTTTTCCACTCACTGAGTTGTTGTTTGATGACATAGATGACTGCGTTTAAATTGTTTGCTTCATCCGGTCTAAAACACGAAGACGTTCTGATTTCAGTGAAATGAACCTGCAGGAACGTCCTCGCGTGTCAGAGGCTGGAAACTGCTGTTTGTTAAATAGCTTAAACAGTTCTCATTTACCTTCTGTCAATTAATAGACTTGCTTCAGCTCCGCCGATGCCCTCAAGCACACGTGAATACAGACTGAACTCAGTGAACTGCCTTGTTGTTGCCCTTGAGCAAGGCACTGAACTGAGAGAGAGAAATAAAAAGCGTGTGTGCTGACTTGTTTACGTAGTTACATAACCTCATCTCTAGCCCTGAAACGCAGAGAGGGTGCCAGAGTTCCTCAGCATATGTTAAAAGGAGCTTCCCCATCTGTCTGCCTGCCAAAAAGCTCCAATCTTAAAGGAACAGTTCGCTTTAAACGTCGTACGTTTTTGACCACCTTTAAGAATAGTTCTTCTCAATAAAGCCCTCCTTATGTTGTTTATATTTGTTGTTAAATCATCAGCAGCTACTTCTCATTTCATAATATGAACCCACTACCCAGTTAATGTATGGCATCTGAATACTCACCAGAACAGCACCCTCTACCAGCTGTGAGTAAAACAGCTATTTGATGCCTGAGATCCTCAATCCGGCTTTAAGTTAGTGAGGAGGGACCTTCCTGGGGCTCCGGTTCATTCTTACTATCTTTTCAATTCATGACGTGATGTCCAAACACAGTTTTCCAACGATGTAATTACTGGAAAAGTAACTCCAACAACATATGTAATAGAACAGAATAGCCCTGGGTGCTCCACATCAACTGTGTGGAATGAAATATAAATAGTAGAAAGCAGGAATAATAACAAAGAGGAGAAATATGCACAAAATAAGAGAAAGGCGCAGATTAGAGGACAGGTTAAAAATATTAACCCGAGGCACCGACCGGAGGGCAATAGGTCAAACATGTGATGGGCCTGGCTTACCTGAGGCAGAAGGATCTGGCGATGGCCTCCAGGGGTGGCAGAGGGCAGCCAGTGATTTTTTGGGTGGTGTTAATTACGGTCTGTGCAGCCTTCCTGTGGCCCCTGCCTACCAAACACCGGGCAGCAGGAGCAACAGAGGGCCAGCAGCAGCTTCTGCTCCAGGTTATTCTTCTTTAGGACACAGAGGCGCTCCCTCACTAGGGCGATGGTGTTGTGGGTCCAGGCGAGATTAGTGGAAATCAGGAAGACAATAAAAAGGCATAAAAACCACAAAGATGAACAGTAGTTGGGATCTCCGTGCCGCTGCACCCAAATCTACCTCTGGAGGGTGTGTGACAGCAGGAATACAGGAATAAATGTGTTTTTTTTAGCTGAATCTTTTCTGTATATTAACTTTGGTATATTTAATGAAACCACACAAAGGTTACCTTCAAACTATAGTATGTACTTTTTCCAACAGCTCCTGTTTCTCAGGTGGATTTATAACTCTTCTTCTATATGAAGAGTTTGAAGCCGTAAAAACAAAGCCAAACATGAGCGATTTGATTTGGATCAAAAAATAAAGGAAAACAAACTAACAAAAATAAGACTGTGTGAATGATT